GCTGTGGCTTGGGAGTACTGTACGACGACTGTTGTACTTTATACTCCTGCTGTTTAGGAAGTGGTGGTGGAGGTGGTGGTGGTGGGGGTGAATAGGAAACAGCAGCAGCAGGTTTTGGAGGTGGTGGTGGTGGTGGTGGAGGATAATTTGGAGCAGGAGCAGGACTGTAGTAGGTACTCGGCACCTGAGGCTCAAGATAGCTAGGACCGACTGAGCTGTAACTGAAGGTTGGCATGGGCGGCACGTAGATCTGCGGTATGACGATGGGCGTGTAGGCGGCCTGCTGAACTTCCGCCTGAACCTGGGCCACGTATCGCTGCAGCTGCTCCAGCTCGGCCATTCGCCGGTGGATTTCCCCGTAGACGGAGGCCAGCGCCGCCTGGCTGTCCTGGGCACTTCCGGCCGCCTCGCTGGTCGTCGAGGCGAGGTCGAGGTTCAGCGGCTCGCCGGAGTTTGGGTACTGAGAGGCTAAATTGGTGGCAACTTCGACGTACGGATTCGGCTTTTGCTGGCCCTGGTTTGGGTACTGTGGTTTGGGCTGCTGCTGAGGTTGAGGTTTGTACGACGGCTGAGGAGGAGAAGGAGGGGGAGGAGATTGAGGCTGAAGTTTTTCATAAGAACTGGGATTGCAAACTTCGACATCTAGGAGAGATTAAAAGATAGATAGATTGAAAAGAATGTTAGTTTTTGTTTGTACAGAAAAGCTTTTTTCCGCTGCTGCTTACATTTGTAGATGATCTTCACGTTTTCCTCCTTGGATGGTGACGTGTACGACTGCTGCTTCTTGTGCTGCTGATGATAAGGCGGCGGCGGAGGAGTAGGGGCAGAATAGGATTCCTTTGGCGGCTGCTGTTGCTGCTGCTGTTGATAAGCCTCAGCTTTCGGCTTTTGATAATCGGTTTTTGGTGGCGGCTGATACTGCTGCTGCTGAGGCTTTGAATATGATTCAGGTGCCTTTTGATAAGCTGGTGGCGGTGGCGGAGGTGCCTGCTGATAAGCAGAATTCGCTTGATAAGCAGGCTGCTGCTGCTGCTGTGGCTTACTACTGTACGACACTTCCGGTTTGCTGTACGACGGCTGCTGAGGCTGGGGCTGTGGCTGATAGTAGTTCGTCTGATAGCTCGACTCCGAGGGCACCTGGTAGCTGTACTGCTGCTCTGAGTAACTTTTCTGATAGTCATTTCCTACCATGTACGGCGGCGATCGTGAGGAGTCGTACACTGCCGCTGCGGGATTGTACGACAGCGAATTAATGGGCGCCACCTTATCGTAAGAGACGTAGGTCTTCGAGGGGTGACCATCGTAACCGGAAGTGGAAGAACTGGTGGTGGTGACCTTGTACGAGGCACTGACCGGCTTCTTCTGCTGCTGATAAGCCATGGTCCTGGTGCTCTTTTGATCCTCTTGAACTTTTTGCTCCTCGACCACCGTCTCCTGGACGGTGGTAATCTGCGTCTTGTTGACCAGCACATTGGGCAGCGTGGTGNTGAATCAGGCGGTCATTGAGCTCGCCCAGGGTGACCGGCCCATTTCCCAGCTGAAGGCGAAGTTTGTTGATGATCTCGCTGCTGACGGCGTCGGGGACATCCGGTGCGGTCCACTGAATATTGGCCGGGTTGATGATGATCGTCGAAGGGTCTGCTGCACCGGGGAAAGGGAGGACTTCCGGTGGAGTGTACGCCG